GTTCTTTTATTTATTGTTTTTAGATGTTTTGTTGTACTTCATTAGTATGGATTTTATTTTAATTTTTGATCTAATTGATAATCTCCTCTAGGGTTGCAGAAAAATAACGTTGATGTGATGGATTATTACTCAATAGGTGAACACCAACACAGAACACAGGAACAAACACGGGATCACAGGAACATAGAACACGGGAACAAACACGGGATCACAGGAACATAGAACACGGGAACAAACACGGGATCAGGAACACAGAACACGGGAACAAACACGGGATCACAGGAACATAGAACACGGGAACAAACACGGGATCAGGAACACAGAACACGGGAACAAACACGGGATCACAGGAACACAGAACACGGGAACAAACACGGGATCAGGAACACAGAACACGGGAACAAACACGGGATCAGGAACACAGAACACGGGAACAAACACGGGATCACAGGAACACAGAACACGGGAACAAACACGGGATCACAGGAACACAGAACACGGGAACAAACACGGGATCACAGGAACATAGAACACGGGAACAAACACGGGATCACATACGGGAACAACACGGGATCACAGGAACATAGAACACGGGAACAAACACGGGATCAGGAACACAGAACAACGGGAACAAACACGGGATCACAGGAACATAGAACACGGGAACAAACACGGGATCAGGAACACAGAACACGGGAACAAACACGGGATCACAGGAACACAGAACACGGGAACAAACACGGGATCAGGAACACAGAACACGGGAACAAACACGGGATCAACACGGAACATAGAACACGGGAACAAACACGGGATCAGGAACACAGAACACGGGAACAAACACGGGATCACAGGAACACAGAACACGGGAACAAACACGGGATCACAGGAACACAGAACACGGGAACAAACACGGGATCACAGGAACACAGAACACGGGAACAAACACGGGATCACAGGAACATAGAACACGGGAACAAACACGGGATCAGGAACACAGAACACGGGAACAAACACGGGATCAAACAGGAACACAGGAACAAACACGGGATCACAGGAACATAGAACACGGGAACAAACACGGGATCACAGGAACATAGAACACGGGAACAAACACGGGATCACAGGAACATAGAACACGGGAACAAACACGGGATCAGGAACACAGAACACGGGAACAAACACGGGATCACAGGAACAAACACGGGAACACAGGAACAAACACGGGATCACAGGAACACAGAACACGGGAACAAACACGGGATCACAGGAACACAGAACACGGGATCTCAGAAACACTTGTTCTGTCTTCTAATTTCTGTTTTATTTTGGACTCTTCCCACTTCTTAATAGCTTAACACCTGTGGCTATATGATATATATATATATATATATATATATATATATATATATATATATATATATATATATATATATATATATATAAGGACGTCTCCTCCTCTGGCCCACGAAGAAGGTAGAGTCCTAACAAGGAAAAGAATATATTAAGAATTAAACTTAGGGAAAATCATATATATAATATCAAGTTGATATTGAGTTTTGAATTAAAGTATAAAAAAGAATAAATAATATAAGGGGGGGGGGGTGGACGAAATCTCACCCGTTTCGGGTCAGAACCGAACTGATTCGGGTTCGTGGAGCTTCCTCGACTTGGTTCAATTGTTAACTACCCAGGTACCGGTTTCATAAAATAGTCTAATCCTTTACACAGGTATATTAGAAGATTTTAAAAGTTTGCCCTTGTTATCTCCATATTGATTTTTCAATTTGAAAGACCTGCCTTTGCTATAAATAGTACACGTTTTCCTTTTAAAGTAGTGCATTGAAACGTGTAAAGGATTTTTTTTCTTTCTTTTTAAAGTAACTTACAACCTTTTTTTGTCGATGATACGTGCTTTTCATATTTCCTTTATCCTCTTTATCTAATGCCAAACCAAGGTAAGTACAGATTTCCTCGCTAAATAAATTATCATTGCGAACAACAGCGTCCATTCCGTGTTCACTTATTACGAGTGCCACTGCTAAGGAAACACCATCACATTATTGTGGTTTGAAAGCAAGCAGGCTGCTGGGGCTGCACTTGACACACTCAGTAAGGCGTATCAAGCCAAATCAAACCATAACTTACTCGTCGGTGAGTTTATTTTTACTCACGGAACCAAAAAACTGGTGACAAAGCTCAAGGAACTTGTTACAAAGATTGCAAAGGCTATGCATAGACACATGTCCGGTTTTCGTCCGGACAGTTCAGTTTTGACGTTTAATGTCCGGTGTCCGGCAGAGACCCAGGACCGGACCATAGAATGTCCGGTTTTGGTGAGTCTCAAAGTGAATGCCCCTCCCTAACATTAGATGGCTATTGTGTCACGAACAGCCGAACGTTGCTATCTTTACAAACATGGCATGTGAGACGAGTTATGAGAAGTAAAAAACGCAGTTGGGTAAAGCAGTCTAATGACTATTTATATAATATTTTGCTC